CAACTTTCGGCAATAAAAGTAGCACTGAAAATAGCTAATGACTAGAGAATTCCCCATATCATAATTAAATCAGACAGCCAGACGGCAATATTCAATATTATTCCAAGTCTGAACTTGAAACATATTAACTTTGAGAACTATAAGCACGTGGTCCATTACAGGCACATTTATCCTAACTTCTTCGCAAAAGCATTTTTTTCTTGACTGCAAGTTCAGTGTGACATCTCTCGCATCAAATAACATCTTGAATCCATGTAACTACACTAGGATGCAAAAGTTATGCAACTTCTCTGGTTTTGGATGAAATTCTTCAAAGCGTCAACTAGGAGGCATAAAATTTATATTAGAGAGATGCAATGTAGTGTTTAAAAGATGAGGAAAGTAGGGTAACAACAACAACAACAAAAAAAAAAAAAAAAAAAGAATAATACGCATATGGTGCAGAACGAATAGAGAAAGGTTTTAGTGACAGAAGGGTGGTTGGTACAAAAAACTGCTTGGCCATGCGAGAGAAAAATGAACTAAGTAAGGAATATTACCTCCCCTAACTACGATAGTTGCATTGCACCGCTTGTCAATACTCAACACCAAATTATTTTACAATGTATTTCTCCCGCCTTCTTAGCATGCTTTCGTGGTGTAATGGCCAGCATACTCGGCGCATATTCGAGAGATCCGTGGATCGAGTCTCGGCGAGCGCATTGCACATTTTTCACGTCTTCCTGCTTCAAAATAACCTAATCTCTCTACAGTGGTGCCCGAACTAAAAAAGGTAGTGGTAAGGAACTAAGTTAAAAATGGGGCCAAGAATCATCTGTCATACTGAAACGACTCCCATCGGTAAACGGGACATGACTTCGTTGATGAGGTTTCTAGTCGTCGAGTTCTCTACATCATTGTAAACGGTACCGCCGATGGGCTGCTGTTAATGGTATACCGCATTCAAGAAGGCTAGCTAATAGGCCATCTTCATGAAATTATCTGACCGCAGCAACCTGGAAAATCTGTCATCCTGTTTCCATGCGCAACTACTGAGCAATGTCTTCGCTGTGTGGTTTCGATCTGCTTTCGCCTGCAAGGCGATATATCAGTCATCAATCACCATTGGTTTTCTTGACGACCACGATCAACATTTCTTACAATCGTAAATGTCGTTTGGAAGGTTTTCCAAGCTTGTGAAACAACACTTTTATCAATTCCAAACTCTTGGGCAACAGACGTCAAACTATGCCCCTCCTCAAGCTTGTTAATCATTTTACCACGTATAAAGAAGCCTTGATGTTTTGTTGTAGCCATACTGTATGCACAATCTTACTTTTACTTGCAGAAGAATGCCTAGAAATACACCTTTCTTTCTTTTTTAAGTTAAATTGCATTGCCCACGCTGGCTCCTTGTGTTTCGAGTAATTCTGATTCCTTGCCATAAACTCTGACGTCATATTACTGATAGTTCCATACGCATCATTTTTCAACCGAGTTGATGAAATTCTGGTCTCCGTTCACTTGTACCTGTACTTAGTATTACTATAAAATTAGAAAGACATGAAATTAGTTGCGAGATTTTCTTGCATTTCTAATGTCTCACCTTGCAGTATGTCCTTTACAAGGCCATGTCAACTATGTACATATGAGTCAACAAAGTCTCTTTTAAGGAAACAGATTAGGGTATGACATTTTAGTTTTATTAACTTAACTAAGCTATAATTTTGCATTGAGCTTGGCGAGTTATTTTAACTTAAATAACTACTAGGATATGACATTTCGGTTTTATTAACTTAATTAAGCTATAATTTTGCATTGAGCTTGCGAGTTATTTTAACTGAAATAACTACTAGGATATGACATTTCAGTTTTATTAACCTAACTAAGCTATAATTCTGCATTGAACTTGCGGATTATTTTAACTCGAATTAACTTTATGATGAAAGTGTTAAAAATAGATTAGGAATGCTAAATATATAGGCCTCCTTTTACTATCTTTGAAATTCCAGCAATTGACAAAATTTGTATACCTATGTCATTATAATCTGAAATCATAAGTGAATGCCCCAGCCAAAGTCATTAGCAGCTCCAAGTCTATTACACTTTTACTTTCCAAAACACAAGGCTGGCTAAAACTATTAAGCTAAATTGACTAAAATCGGTCAACAGGTGACAGAAACATATCTTCCTTGGAATGACTTTTAAAGCATAATTCATTATAGTATAAGTAATGACAATTTTTCATACCATCAAACAACAGAAACATTTAAGCATTTAAAGATGAAAGTTTAATAATAAATGAATACTTATTCTATTAAACTGATTTCGTTGTTAAGTAACTTAAGGCTATTAAGAACTATCAAAAATTATTTGGATTAAAAAATATTTACTTTACAGGAGAAACTCAAAACAATTAGGCGTTTTTTTAACCTTATTTATTTTAGATCTAAATCAGTATTTCAAAGCATCTGAAATTAGGTATTTTGACGCTACGATACTGAAGTAGATTATTTTTAAAAGTAGCTTTTTAAAAAAAATCAGCTTTTTTTTTTTTTTTTTTATTTTAAACTCTGCAATAAAGGAACGCTTAAAACAATTTTCACGTCTCATGAAACACCCATAAAAATGTATTTTTACTAATTGTTATAACAATAATTGGAGGGAGACTATACTAATCTAAACTTGGATACTTCATCAGTTAAGTTTTATTAATGGGAAAATTCTTTCCGAGTGCTTGAAAAGAAAATAATGTTAAATCTCAAATAAAAGATAATCTATAGAATTTTTGTCACTGTGGTTTAATATATGTCAACCAAACTAAGTAAGCTTTAATAGGCTAGTATTTTAATAAATAAAAGTGGAAAATGAATGAAAAAATTTAATTATCAGACTATAAAGAATAATTACATTGTTTAAATACTAAATAAGCGACATTTAATTGCATAACTACTGCTAATTATAAAAACAAATCCAATTCAGCAATTTCAATTTAGTCCCATAACCATTATACTGATTACTAATATGACAGACGACAAATAGGTAATAATGTATTATTTTTTTCCCTCTATACAACAGTAAAAAATGTTACTTAATTAGATAACTTATTTTTCATTCTAATCAGAAACAAATGGCCCTTAATCAGAATCATACTCTCATCATATATTCACTTAATTTTTTTTTTTTTTTTTCTTAATGTTCTACAAATTCTCATTTTCAAGTAAATATGGTAAGTGATTTATACTATATGTACCCATGTTAATTAATAACTTGTACAAACATGTGCACTGTTATTGTAATTAATTAAAGATATTTTAACACTGCATAATATATAATTCAATACAGAATAATCAAATTCATGTCAATTAATAATGATTTTAGTAAAAACAAGTAGAAAAGCTCTGTTTCTGTAGCCATGTATATAATATATGATTAATCTCTTATGAATTACATTAATTGTATAAATGTTTATAAAACTTATCAGTTTGATACATTATAAATTAAATGAAGTAGATATTTTATCTGAAAATTATAAAAAATAATATGTATAACAGCTTTCAAGATATTCCATTCAATACTGTTTCATAACACTTCAACACCATTTATTCACATTTAAATTTTTAAATAAACATTGCTTTAATATATCAAATATGATACAGTGGGCTGCCAATAACACTTCACTCAGATTTCATATTTGATACATTATGTCAATAAAGTAAAACTACAGCATTCCATATATATATCATCTTGAGACTGAAAGGATTAAATCTTGACTTAGTGACTGTCAGGGAAACACTGAAAAATATTGTTGAATAAAGAATCTGTTTTAATTCAACTTTGAACATGATATTCATAATAAAATGCTTGGTATTTTCTGATTATCTGCAGCCCTACAAAAAGTCTCCCACTCATTTGTGACATTATGATTTATCATTTGTGACATTTGATGTTTAATAACTCATAAAATAATAAAGATAGATTAAATTTAATAACATAAATGGAGATAGACTAAAAAAGTTTCATGACCCTTGTCAATGAACTTCCACGTGTGCCCCCTTCATCGCACGGAGAATATCAAGTCGATATTTAATTTCACGCCAGGTACCGGCAAGCACGTGTTGTGGTGTATGCATTCTCCTTAATATCCGGTTGAATAAAACATCACATACAAAAGTACTAGAACAAACACATAAAAAGTAAACATAACATTCCATTAGTGCCAAAAAAACAAAAGAGAGAAAAATGCAATTAATAAGCAGACGATATTTAGAAAAGTACAGATATTTAGACTGGAAAATGAAATTATCTGAAATTAACCACACGCGCAGACGATATTTACATAAGATATTCACACCTGAAAAGGAAAATATATAAGTTATTCCATCAATATAAGCCATAAGTTTGTTTAGATCTTCATTATTTTATGAGTTATTAAACATCAAAATGGGTCCGGGACTTTATAAACACCCTGTATATTAAAAAAAAAAAGGTTTGGCTATTTTCACATCTTATAAGTGCTATTCTGTTTATAAATAATAGAGGCATTTATAAGAGGGGGGAACAAAGATATATATTCCCAATACTTATATTTTTACAACCATCCAATATTGTTCAACTCTATAAAGAGAGTAAATGCAGGTGTTCTCAAATATGTAAACAGTATGTATAGGCACAAGTTGGTTTTCATCACATGTACACTCAAAATCATATTTAAAAAAAAAGGCAGTTCAGTGAAATGCTGAAACTGCGGTTGTGAATAATCACACAATACCAAATACTTTTTTTCTGTGGAGGGGCACTTGGCAATGATCAAGTGCTTTTATGTTTTAAGTACAAATATGACAAATATATAACTTAAAAATTTTAAATACAGGTTAGTTTTCCATTAACTTTATGTTTTGGGCTGAAGATAATCATTAAATTGGGACTAAATTACATAAATGATATCCTTGAGGGAAAATGTGATGTGACATAAAATCTTCCAAAAAATACTCTTTTATTTTTCTAATTTTTATTGAGTATTTTTTTTTATTTTTAATTTTATTTTTACTTTTTTTTTTTTTTTTTTTTTTACAAAGGCTCTAGTTATAGCAAACTTCTTGCCACACAGTCAACTGTATCTAATATACATATGCATATATACAAATAATATTGAAAATCAGAGCAAATATAAGAAAGTTTTCCATCAGCTTCAAGACTCGTGCAACAATCGATTAAAGCTACTATATGCAGATTCCAAATCAAATATAAACTGTCGCACTTGACTTTCAGTTAATTCATCAGATGCAGCCATTCCAGACATAGTTTGTAACCTGAAAATAAGTTCATTACTTTAGCAAATATCAGAACAAAAAAGAATGATTAATTCAAGTACAATTTTTTTTGGCATATATTTTTATTTACTGCATAATTGCCTTTCAAGCTAGCATAAGAACTTAAAAATCTTTCATGCATATATAGCACAATAGCATATATAAGCTTAATTAGAATCATCTGTATCCGACACATTAGTTTACTCAAAACTTTAAATCTACAACCTTTTAAAGGCTTTTACAAAAAGTATTTCCTATTAAAGTGAATTATAAGTACTATTGTTTTCTTATAAAGTGAAAATTAGAAGTGATATTAAAAAGGGTCTATCTCAAATATTCTATATTTAACAAAAGAGGAAATAAAGGTTTTATATAGCAATTTTATTTAGTTCAAGAAACTAACAAATATAAACTTAAAAAAATCATATATAACTTGCAATCAAGACAATCTGTAACTGAATTCTGTCTACTTTTAATCTTCAGATTTGACATTATTTTACTTACTTTTATATGCTTCATTTATTCATTCATAACATAAAATTTTTATTTCCCATGATTCTTTCTTCATCATCCACTCATACTCATTTATTGTAACCTCTATTATTAACTTTAGTTTAAGAAGTTTCTGCATTAAGTGCAATTATTATCAATCCAAACTCTTACAAAAAATTAAGAAATGCAAGTAGAACAGACAGCTACAAGATAATGCCATCAGAGCTTTCCAATAGAAAAAAAAAAAAAACCTATTTATTTATTTGTTTGCTTTTCATATCCTTATGAAAAATATATTATATATATTTTTTTCATTTAAACACTACCTAAAGAATGTAAAATTTAAATTTATCAAGTATCTATAATGGCACAAATGTCTGTTCTAATATAGTTAAATTTTGTATCACATTTTAACACTCTTCAAAATCAAACATATAAAAGTGCAAAATAATGTCATTGAAACTTTACAATATAAAATAATAAGTGCATTTATTTATTTGTTGGTTATATTCATATGAAAATTTATTTTCATATATATATAGGCATTTAAACATCAAAATACTACAGACCAAAGTTTTAATTTACTAGGAATTTAAAATGGTGCAAATACCTGTTGTTCTAATAGCTTTAAATTTTATACTTACTTTGCAGTACTCTTCAAAATGCAAACATATCAAAATTAGAATTTCCAGATACATAACACTAAGCATGAAACATCTAGTTACATAACTGTTAAAACAAAATACATAATTCATTCTTGTTTTTATTCAAGTACTAATTAATGCTCATTTCACTATTTGCACTTAACCATTTCAAATTACTGTTTTAAAAAGAAGAAAATTCAAAAATTTGTTATTTTTTCAACAAGAAATTTTTAATTAATTCTCTGAGTTACATGAGAACTAAAAGAAATCCCCTTATTTATATAAAACAGTACAAAGTCCAAGATCCAGAATTGTCAGGGCTTTGATGATTCCAAACTTGTGATTTTTCTGGCTATTAGATTATAACGTTGCGCGCCTCCAACTTGCACGCAACCAAGAGGTGACTGTGAAAACTTGTATAAAAGATAGAAGCTTGTGAAGGGTTTAAGTCCCTTTTTATTCAACGTAATAAATTACAATTGCGTTCTCTTGACGCTTACAGACGGTGCAACTTAGCAGTCAAATAAAAATAATAACCTGAAAAGAAAATAAAGACAAGATTCTAACTACGAGGCTCTCTAAAATAACTAACTCACCGCGTTTTACAACACTGCTGCTAATTCAGCAGACTTGAAGCTCACTGGGAACGATGACCACTACTTTCCGCCAAGCACATAGGCTGCAATGCGGGGTTCTTCAATTCTCGCTAACTACCTCCGCGCTAGCTAAGTAAGAGAATCTCTCACACCGAACTTGTTTCCTTCTATTTAAATCAGAATACTTCTGCTGATAATTTGAATCCTTGCGCGTTCTACTCAAATTTACATATTCTGGCATTGGCAGTTCCAGGGGAAAGTAAGGCTTGACAGGAAAGAAGTTTAAACTTAAAATAAATGTTAGTTTAAAATAAATCTAAACCCTACATTTGCCGCTGCCAGAATTTGGAAAACTTGGAAGCAGGTCCTACAAACGACCTGTTGTAAGTTTATCTAATTCTGAACTAACTGGCGAGAACCTAGTTTACACAAAAAAAATCTTATGTAACAATTATATATTAAAATTCTGTTCTCGTTACAAGCTTTCTTCTTACAGCAACTTTTCCTGGACTTCATCAATCAATCTTGGTCTTTCCTTCCAGCATCTGGAAGGAATAAGTATCAGTATCTTTCTACATACATTATAATTTACACTTTCTTGACACAATAAATTTTTGTTTTTAACGATTCGTTTTTCTTAGTTATTGCTTACTTCACATTCATTCATTTTTTCAAGCATTAATTTAACTTTACCCTGGCTCTCCACCGTGTGTGGTGTCAAACGGGAATATTCGTTTTAGTCTTACAACACTTCCCCTAACTACCATGATTTGTTAGAATTCAACAACCAAATAGACACACCTTACTCGACATTCTACAACTCAATGAGCTACTTTAATATTCTTAAAAATTCAAATGTAGGTGGAGAACCTACAAAACACATTCATTTAACTTCCCCCTCATTCATCTTTAAACATGCAGGCTTTCGCTCTAAAGCATGACTTTATCTACAATTTAACTACTTAAATTTTGACTTCATTGCTTTTAAGCATTCACTTTTAGCATCTACAATTTTATGCTTCTAGACTAAATTCTACTTTTACATAACCTTCAAGTATTACAATTTACCATAAAATGAATAAGAGAAAATAAATTTTTACTTTACTCATTCTTCGCCAAGCTGGCGGCACTGAAACTAAAATTCTTATTAATACAAGAATACGAAGTTATTTTTATCTTCGGCCAAATTTTGGCTTTAACATAACAGAATTAGTCTTTCGACCAACAGAAAATGCTTGTTTTTAGTTTTTACACTTAAAGAAAATAATACTTTTGCCTTAGCTAAATAAAGTAAAACAAACTAAGTCTCAACCGAGACATATTGACTTTCGTCAAAACATAGACTTCGTACTTATGCATAACATTTCGGAACAAAAGAGAAAAATATTTATAGAAGGTTTTAACTTATCTTTGAGTTTTCGATGCTTGAAACTCCGTCATCCGTTTTTGGCAAAATTGATCCCAAGTTAGAGGTTTCATGGATGTCAATCTTCTCCTTATTGATCTCCGCATGTCGTCCACGTTGCTCTTTCTTTTGCGTCCTCTACATGCTGGCCTCTTGACGGAGTAATTGTCTGGTTGTTGGCCTTTGCGTTTCTGCCTGGGACGGCTGGTCTTGACGTCCTCCGGTCTGGAGTCCTTCTTGAATTTCTTCTGTTCCTCGTATTTTTGTGCCTCCTGCTGGCGTTTCAGTTTCCGGAACGGCGGCCTTGCTGACACCTGACTCTGTGGCCGTGTGCGCGTTCTCCTTGATGTGTATTTTTCTCCTGCCATCATTTGTAGGTGGTGTTTTCGTCTTTACCATGGTTTCTTTACCCGGTTCATCTGTATTTTTATTTTCTTAAAACGCCGGAGTTTGAAAATCATTTTTTCTTTTTGATACCGGCGTCCGGGTTGTAGAAGTGCTAGGTCTCCTCTCTTCAGTTCTCCGTTTCTTGGGTGGTGGAATAGTTGTTGCAGTCTCTGGCCCTTCTATTTCGTTTAGACTTGAGTCCTGCAAGAAACTTTTAAAGATTTCAAATCATTTGGATTATAGTATTTTTTCACCTGGTCGGGACTTGCTTTACAGATTTCCCCTCTGTCGTTCTTAAGATATAATACTACTACCCCCCCCCCTTTGATTTCCTGAATTACATAGGGGCCTTCAAACTTTGGAGCTAGCTTTGCCATAAAATTGTCTGGGGCACTTGATAAAGAAAATTTCTGCTTCAATACTTTATCCCCAACTTTAAAATCTGCTTCACGGCGTTTTTCTATCATAATATAACTTTTGTCTATTTCTTGCCGTATCCGAGGTTTTAAAGCGCCTGATCAATCAACTTTTGCACATCTTGTTGTTTAAAAACTCCTGCTCTCTCTTTGTTGCACAAAGAATAATTTATCTAAAGGCGTAATTAACTTTCTGCCTAAAAATAATTCTGCTGGAGTTTTTCCCGTAGTATCATGATGTGCCGTTCTTAAAGCATAAGCTAATTCATTTATGTAGCCATCCCAGCGCTTGTGATGTGTGCTCACGTAACTGCGAATTATTTTTACTATGTTTTTATTAACTCTTTCTGCTATGTTAGCCTGTGGTCTATACGGAACCATTTTGATATGGCATATGCCAAGTCCATTGCATATGTTTTCAAATACTTGACTAATGAATTGTTTTCCGTTATCGCTAATAACTTTTATCGGTGCACCGTATTTTAAAATGTATCTCTGTGTAAGAATGCATCTGCGACTGTTTTGGCTGACGCGCGTTTAAGAGGAACAATTTCTATCCATTTTTGAAAAATGATCTACTATTACTAAAAAAAACGACTTTTATTTAACTCGCTCTGGGGGAAGGGACCAAGGAGATCTATTCCTAAAATTTCATTCGGAAATGTAGCGCGAATGCTATTTAAGTACCCGGCCGGGCTGTAATTAATATCATTTATTAACTGACATTGATTGCAGGACCTGACATACGCCGTTACTATTTTGTATAATTGCGGGAAATATACCGCCTCGCGTACCCTTTTTATAGTCTTTCTGACCCCGAGGTGGCCCGCTGTTTTTTTTTCATGCAACTCCCTCAAAATGCTTAATCGAAGCGAGGCTGGGATGATTGGCTTATACTCAAGATTTTCGTTTGTTGTTTTCGTATAGAATAATAAATTATCTATTATTTCATAGTTTTTTGCTGTATTTCTTATCGCATCGATATCTGTGTGCTCAAAGCTTTCGGGGTCTTTCAAATAAGCATAGATATTTCCAAATTCAGGATCAGCTTTCAGTTCAG